TATAAACCCTAAACTCTAAAACCCCAAAGCCCTAAACCCTAAACTTTAAACCCTATGTAGATCAGGCCGAGGCGGCTCTCCGAGCGGCGGCAGAGGCCCAGGAGGCCAGCCGACAGGCGGCGCAGGAGGCAGGTTTTCCTGTTTAGGGTTTAGAGGTTTGGGGTTTAGGGTTTAGGGTTTTAGGGTTTAGGGTTTAGGGTTTAGAGGTTTAGGTTTAGAGGTTTAGGGTTTAGGGTTTAGAGGTTTGGGGTGTAGAGGTTTAGGGTTTAGGGTTTATGAAGAGGTTTAGGGTATAGGGTTTAGGGTTAAGTGTACCATACGGGTACTATGAGGCTACCATATCATATGGTCCGTATGGTCCCTGAACCCTAATTTTGCAAAAGGGCATGGGGCGCCAGGAAGGGCTGCGGGTTTCGGGAAAAGGGGTTTAGCGAGTTTATTGCCCTTGGGAAAGGAATTTGTTAGACAGTGAAGTACCAAAAACCCTAAACCCAAAGGACCTCCATGCTTAGTCTTGTTTGATGGGGTCGGGGTTGGCTCCGATCCTGCGCATCTTTACACTGAGGATTCAACTCGAACTCCAGCCTTCGAACTAATATAGGGGCCTTGAGAATTAGACTAGGGGTTTGGGGCACATTATACTATAATTATGGTAAGGAGCCCCCAAAATAGTATAGGTAATTAAGGCCCCTATACCTGAACCCTAGCCCCTATACCTGAACCCTAAACCGTAAACTCCCCTATATTATAGCTTCTCACAGGTATGCTGTAAATATAATGAGGACCTCCCAAAACCCTGTTCTAGTATTAAGGCCCCTACATTAGTTCTCTAAGTTGAGGTCCCTTAATAGGCCCGCCAAATAGTACCGGCACCCTTACAAAAAGGACCCCCAAAAAGGACCGTAATTTACAGAACTACCCACGAACAAGGCCCCTTAAACTCAAAGGCCGGCGTGATTTCGCCATTCGAACCTTTGCAGTCATGCACATGGATAATGGAGGGTGTAGGGTTTAGGGTTTTGGGGTTTTGAGGTTTTGGGTTTAGAGTTGAGGGTTTAGGGTTCAGAGATTTAAGCCAACTCAGAGTCTTACTTCGGAGGCAGGTCGCGGCAAGTGCCTGGGATCCCGCTCATGTCAACACGAAGTGCAGTCTGTTGATTGCGAAGTGTATCAGTCAAACCAAACGTGTATTTCCAGAACCGAGATTGTTTCAAAAGTTTGCCCGTGTGCCTGCTTTCCCCAGTGTTGTTTTTTATTAGTTTGGTTTGTTTCGGTTCGTACTACTCCTGCATGGTCATATGACACGTTCGTTTTGGCTCAGTTATCATGGCCTTTCAGTCATTTTTGACGGCGACGACCACCATGACTACTACTTTTGCTACCACCACCACCACCACCACCACCACCAACAACAACAACAACAACAACAACAACAACGCCACCGTCACCGCCACCAGCCTGCTACTACTACCACTACTACTACTACTACTACTACTACTTCTTCTTCTTCTTCTATTACAACGGCAACTACGACGACGACGACTGCTACTACTGCCGCCAGAGAGAAGTTCAGTATGCTTCGTTTTCATGGTCAGGCTGCAGAGCGCACTGCCCGTGCAGCGGAGGCTGGGCAGCTGAAGTCCACAGGCTGCTTTCTCTTTTTGAGGGTTTGGGGTTTAGGGTTTAGGGTTTAGGGTTTAGGGTTTAGGGTTTAGGGTTTAGGGTGGGTTTAGGGCATCTTGTCTCATGTTCTGCGTTTTCAGGGTTCAAGGCCACACATCACCAATGCCCTGTAGTTACATAGATCCTGAAGGTTTAAGGTGTTGGCGGAGCCATGATGGATGGGAAACAAGCTCAACTATGATCTGTTGCTTCTGGCACTGCTGCTGCCACTAAGGCTCCTTATTGCTTGGTGGTTCGGTGTTTCGAGCTTTCTGCACCATCCCTGGATCACCCTAAACTCCAGACGCTAAACCTCGAAACTCCTAAACCCCTAAACCCTAAACCCTACACCCCCTGCCCCAAAAACCCCAAACCCTAAAACCGAATGGCAGGCAGAACATGCTGCAAGTGAGGGGAAGGCCCGGCCATCCCCTTTTCTGGGAGCTCTGAGGCATTTGGGTTCGGAGGCTTCCGCGCTTCGATTCGGCTTTCGGGGTTTTGGTGTTCGGGGCTCTGGGTTCAGGGGACGGGGTTTAGCTTTGGGGTTGGGTTGAGGGCTATTGAGGTGTTAGAGCCTCATGGGTCAGGGGCTTCGGGTATAGGGGATTTGGATTCCAATCAATGCTGTGCCTTTCAGTCTCTTTCAGTCTTTAGGGGGTAGGGTTACCCTAAACCATAAACCCTAAGTCCACGCAATCGATTGCAAGGCTTTTGATGGCCCTGTTCCCTTCCGCTGACAAGCCGCTGTAATGGCAATCGAATAAGTATGAATATATATATATATATATATACTTGTATACAACATCTGATTTTCTTTGTCTCCGGACCAGGCCTTGTAAAGCTCCCTCTCCCATGCGCAATCTTGTTCTTGCTTTGCCATGCTTTGCCTAGTTCAAGAAGGTCAAAGCTATCTCGGAGTTGGTCGTGCCTGACGAATATACGAATGTCCCAAGTCGTGCACGTGGATTTCTTCATCCTACCTTGCAAGGTGCATGGAAGCTTCCCAGATCTCAACAACTACATGGGAGTTTCTGAAAATTAGGGTCCCCTATTTTGGGGTCTTCATAATAAGGATCCTACTATTTAGGGTACTATATTAGGGTCCCCTATTTTCGGAAACCACCACATGTCTCATCGCGTAGCCATCTCATATGAATCCTCGAAGACCCTACCATGAGCCGAACCTCACAGGATCTAGGGTTTAGGGTTGACCTGGGCTCAGAAGAACCTCCTTTTTCAGGGGCTTCTGATTGTGATTCCTTAAACTGAAGAAGTTTAGGGAAAGTTTAGGGTTCAGGGTTTAGGGGTTTAGGGTTTAGGGTTCAGGGTTCAGGGTTTAGGGTTTAGGGTAGGTTTTTTAGTGTCCAGGTAGGGTTTCAGCCCGAGTCAATCGGATCTTTGAGGCCGTCGCCCGAGACTTCGGCATGGCTGCCATGGGCAGCCGCTGCAACATGCTCATGACCATCCAGGCCCCTAAGCCCAAAAAACCCTAAAACCCTAAACCCTAAAGAACCCTAAACCCTAAAAGCCCTAAAAGACCTAAAGCCTAAATCCTAAACCCCCAAAACCCTAGAAACCCTAAACCCTAAACCCCTGATAAAGGCAGCTTAACGCTTTTCTACTACTACTTAGCGATCTGTCGGTCGCTGTTCATACTACCGATCAGCTGGCCAGCTGCAATTTCGCTCGCCAGTGACTAAGTGTCAGCGCTCGTTTGCTCTATAGTCTTATTGGTAGAACATTGGTAACGATAGTGTCGAGAAACCAAGGGAGGATAATTTGGATGAGGATGGATGACGACGACGACGACGACGACTACCATGACGATGACCTCGCAAGCCCCGCAATCACCACCGTGACGACTGCAAGCTTTCTACTATGTGGTTGTCCTTGCCATGGTTCACCTGCTGCCTCTACGTCGAGGACGGCAACGACAACTACCATGACCGTTCTGTGATACTTCAACTGTTCTATTGTGCGGTTGTCTTGCCGCTATCTCGTTTAATTTGATTACGGGTGTGAGTGTGCATCCTAGTTGTATGACCATTAGATTATCACTTCCATCCGTTGCCCGCTCCGCAGCCTGTTCTTGTCAGTAAGCACTGATGACTTGTCCTCGAGACTGTTGCCTCGTTACACAACGCACGGTACCTGCATCGCAACTATGACAACGACATTTTGGAGAAGGGTAGTGGTTGCTGCCATAATTGACTGTGGCTAGTAATTCTCGCAGATGCCAGGGGTCATGATCGCAGATGCCAGGGGTCATGATCACCAACTTCAGCCAAAGCAGCAAGCATGCGACTCAAGCTTGAAAAGCTTGCACGAGTGAAGTCTCAACTCACTAGGGTGTGCAATCCTAAACCCTAGACCCTAAACCCTAAACCCTAAACCCTAAACCGTGCCAGCTGCAAGTCTTATAAAAACACTTCTGTCTCTTCTCTTGGGAAAGCCCACATTGTGCTGTTGAAATTCGGGAAATTCGGACCCCAACAGTCCGTCGCAGTTCATAAACAGCCTTTGCAATCTCTGCAACCCCCCCCC